AAAAAAAGTATTTTTGAACTATAAGAAACTACGTAATACCTAACTTTACAGATAACATTATAACTAAAGAGCAGATTTAATTGCATTTAAAACACACAAAAATTGCACATTAAAATTATATGATTGAACCAAAAAATACGTAAAAATTGCATAGTAAATGGCATTTTAAAAATGCAAAAGTTATATAAAAAAAATGAGATAATTGTTATTTTTTTGAATTAAAATTGATAATTAGATACATTTCTAAATTATTTTCTATAAAATTAAATCTTCCATTATTTAAAATATGATTGTACAAAGAAAAACTACGTTCTACATCTACACTAGTTAATGGTGCATATTTAAAACAATTTAATAAAGTGAGTGTTATACTTAAATTAACATTTGCTTTACCTGACATGAGTTCATAGTAAGACTTTAAAGTCTTATACCCTTCATTTTTTTCAATTACGTACATACATTTATCTTACATTTTTTTCCCATTTGGACCAGGTATATTTGTTGAAATATCTTCAATTTTTTTAAAAATATCCATGCTTCTCATTAGTTCACTATTAGATTCTTCCAAATTTTTAGTATTCATGGATAACTAGGATAAGTGTAATTTTATGAATGCTAAATCACATTTGATTGCATTATTTTATACAAACTGTTTCAGCTGTTCGACACTTGTAGCATCATCTGTTTAACTTCCAATTACGTTTTTAAACTCTTCAAAATTATTTGCATAGAAATGTGCAGCATTTAACCATGTTTCCCATCTCGTAATAATAGGTTCGGGTGGTAAAGATATACTCGGCATTTCTTTTCTATATTTATTTATTCTCGATGGTGCTTTCAGGAAAGCTTTTTTTTTCTGAAATAAACGAAATAAGTTACATATGTACTTAAATTTTAAATAGGTACTTAATATGTTACCGTTGTTAATTAATTTATTAATGTCGAGACACAATTCTCGGATTTTCTCTAGAACTCTATTAACTGCGTGCGCCATACATGTATTATGAATTAATTTCGGGAAAAATATTTTTAATGTTTTTGCTGCTTTGATCATATAAATATCAGCGTCACTAATAAAAAGTAATACTATTTGTTCAATATCAGAAAATATTTTTAATGAGGAATTAATAAACTGAAAAATAGTTTCATAATTAATGGATTTTAGTTTTTTATATGCAATTAAGTATGATTTACTAGGCGTCCCATCTAATTTACCAATCAATAAATTTGCAATAGCCAAATGTAAACGAAAATAGAATATTTTATTATATGAGAAATTAAAAAAAATATTTATACAAACCTTTTAGATTGGTTGTTTCGTCAACAATTATGTAAACGTACATATTTCCAATATCACTAATTATTTGGTTCATAACACTTTTATAAATATTTGGTATATAATTTTATCTTAAAGTGCCTTCGTCCGGAATTGATTTGCCAGTATGTTTTTCCAAAAATGATTTTAACACGTGATTGCCCAGCTAACGCAAAGGAATATTTGCAGCAACAAATGCATTACATAAATCTTCAAAATTACATTTTTACTGTTCGAATTTTGAAAAATAATCCAAAACTGGTTTTTTTCTTTATTCCTTTGTAATCCATTTATGTGCTGAACTAAAAAAAAATGCATGTATTTTTTAAATAATGTGTAGTATATTACGTGCAGTATAAGCATAAAATACAAAATTGACTTGTTTTGAAATGATTATTTAATTGATATTTTTTTTTTTAGTATACACAGATTTGTTCATACGAGACAATATACAACCTTTCCATCTGATGAATATACCTCTTATTTATCATTGTAAGGAGCAATCCAATTTGAAATTTTATTTTTTGAAGTTGATTTTATTTTAGACATTTCGTCGAATACGTTCACCGTTTGGTCAAACTGATCAAAGAAATAGGTACTAAGGTACCAACAGGTAAACGCAAACGAATCGCTGTACTACTACGTTGAATTTGATTACCACCATATATATAGACGCTTATCGCTGGTTAGGCTCTCCAAACTTTTAGAAAATTCCAAACGAATGATAAACGCCTATGATTTAAAAACGTGGGGAAATTACAAAAAATTGCATTATACAATTAAATAAGCAGAATATTTTTAGTGTATATCGGCTATGTATTTAATCAGATCTGATTTATCTTTATTGCAAAAAAAAGTTTCAATATCAATGAAATCCGGTCTTTAATTATAATTTTTATAATAATATTATGACATTATCGGCCGACGGATATCATTATTTAATATTTAGGTATCGTAGCTGCAAATTATTCCCGATATAGGATATAATATCGATATCGATATCGTATCAAATTATCGATATTGTCGCCTATCACTAGTATTTACTGTAATATAACTATTTTGATATTTTTTAATTTTTGACTCTGGACTTCCCTCCCAAAATAAAATCCTAACTACTGACCTCAAACAATCAAAAAGTGTATAAAATGTATTATACGAATATAATATTATTTATTGAATTGATAAATGGGTTGTATTCATCACATCTTTGCTGTTTACGGACAATTGACATGGATATTAGATATACCATACCACTGTTTGAAAGGTAAACTGTACCTATACAATATTCTTCTACCATTGAAATTAAAGGGGTCCACTAGCTATTGATGAGTATTAAGTATTCGTAAACTATATCACTATTGATGTTATTGATGGTATTGATGTTTTAGGACCCTTTTAAAGTTTAACAAATTACCTATCTCTGATGTTTGCAAACCTTTTTCTTTTCAGCGGTTTGTTTGTTGCGTACCAAATGAACTGCAGCTTATCTAAGCCTCTTCGATATGTACATACCTAAATACCTTCTTGAATTATTAACATCATCTTTAAATTAATTTATATTTATCCATTTGAATAAATTCAATATAAATGCTATAGTTATTCATCAGGTATACTTATTACTTGGTATATTCACTACATAGGATAAAAAAAATCACTTAAATTAACTGAAAGAACTAAAAAAAAAAAAAAAAGGAAAAAAATTACTAGCTTCTGGCAAATTAATACCTATCTATCTTTAAAGGTATCAATAACTAATTGGTAAAAATTTATTTTTATTCTGTAGGTGACTTTTAGTGGTTTATTTTCTACGATGAATATAAGAAATAAATATTATATAGAAAATATTATAATACAACAGAACATAATCATTTTAACCAAAATAAATAAAAATATACGTAAGGTTACATTTTAATCTAACCTTCTAATTTGTTGTTTAATTTTTTTTTTTCAGAATATGATATTAAAAATGTTTACTCTATTTTCTGAAACGAGAACAAAACTGAATAATTCATTCCTGAGAACGAAATGGTAAGGGTATAAACTATAATTTACTTAGTATTGTATAAAATTGAAAAAAAAAAAACCAATGGTTTATTTTGAATTGGAGATAAAAAAAAAATCTAGAAAAGAAAGTTCCAGGAAAACAGTTATTGCACAGTTGTATATTGTATATTTGTTTACGCTTTGCAATTACAAGTTATATTAGGTAACACAAATTTAGACAAGCAATAATTACACACCTCCTATAAGCTTAAAGCTTGCATTGGAGGTGTAGTTCTTAAAGTTAAGTTTATAGTACGAACAACACAGTTTATATATAATATTGATTTTTTTTTTACTAATTTAAAAAAATACAATTTGATACTATATAAATGATAACAATATAATACAAATAAACAAATTAAAAATAATAAAATGTGAAGATAATTGAACTTGGATTAATTTTAAAATACTTATAATTACTAAAATGATTAACATTAATATTCAATTTTTTAATTGTCATGATAGCAGTATTAAACGTACTTTTGAGAACAAAATTTTTATATCACCTTTCAATACTTATATTTTTTTTATATCTTGTATTTAAATAATAATTACATTCTGGAATAATATTTCTATGTTTATGTATAAGTAATAACAGTCATTTTTAAATAATCTATCAAAATTAAATACTTTTATCTCGTTGTAGCTAAAATCAGTATTAGTATAACTTGGTAATTTTTATATAAATTAAATTATTTTATTTATAGTAACTTTTAATTTGCTTAAATGAATATCATAACTACAACCCTAAATCTCAATTCCACATACACGCCAGACATAAGCGATTGTACAAGTTATTATAGTTATTTGCACTCTAAGAAAAAATTTTTATTTAAAAAAACAGAAAAAAAGCTCAAAAAAAAGCCTATTATAAATTAATGTAATACACTTTAAAAATAATAAAGAATTTCATTAAAAAAAAAAAAAAATCCTTAAATAAATCTTCTTCTCTATTCTATTTGTTATTCTTAAGTGTATAACCAACCACCAAATAAAATTTGAATTTTTAATTAATCTATTAGTTTTAGTACATTTTTAGTAAATTTATCCATATCAGTTATTATAAGAAACTCTGTAAATTACAGAACTTAGAACTTACAATGTTCTAAATATTGTTATACTTTTGCAAATATTGACAAGTAACGATTATTATAATACTTGGGAGCAATACTTTTAAAAACTTTTTTAAATAGCTTCGAAAACTAAAGTTCAAATATTAAGAGGCCTTTTATATTATTACGTTCAACGAAGTAAAATTTAATTTAAAATTATGGACTGGACTTAAAAACCTACAAAATTATTACTTAGTATACAGAGTGTAACAGGACTATTTGACATTTTTATATTGTAGTTTTATGTTAAAATGACAAATAGTCCAGTTACCTGTTGCACACTGTACACAGATATACTATTCACCTTAGAAATTAAATAATTGTATTTATTTATTTATTTTTGAAATTGAGATTCCAATACTTATTAAGATTACATTTTTGATAAGTCAGCATCAATATTCAAGACATGTTTCCTGTAAGAATAACAAAATAAATTATTAATAAAACATCATTTTTTTCGTTGTGCTTAGTTAAGTAACGAGTTCAAAATTACCATAATAATTATCATCGCTTATTTCGTACGGTACTTTCCCTATATATTTTTTTTTAAACAAAATCAATATTAGTTTCCGAATGGAGCGAAGAAGCGTATGGTTTTACAAAGATGTTTATTTTTTTCTGTGAACAACTTCTCTACCAGAAGACTTGCTCCGATTTGTATGTGTAGTAATTTTTCTAAAAGAAAACTTCACTGGGGTGGTACTTTAAACGGGTCATTTTTTGATTTTCTCCGGAGTTTTCACAACAAATTTGAAAAACTGGGAAAAAACATGGGAAAACAGGAAAAAACGTAGGAAAACCTTGGAAATTGGTACAACATTAAACAAATATTATTAAAGAAAATACATAGAGCCTATTTAATTATTTTAAAATAACATGTCATATGAATTATTGACATAGTATTACTATCAATTAAATTCCGCTCAGAATCGTTTTTCGTTAGCAATAGTTTATCGTTGCTTACAGATATACATTAAATTCCCGTCTATATCCTACCATCTCAACTTCCAACCTACACCAGTAGCTGCACCCATTCCCATTATCTTATATTTTTCTTTTTTATAATATTTAGATAACAAATGGCAGAGAGATTGGAACTACCTGACTAGGGGTGATGTCAGGATTTTTTCTTAAGAAGGGTCAACTCGGGCTATATAATTTTTAGTAGGGTCGAATGAAATATTAATTGTATAGCTGCAAGAAGTTTTACCGTTCAAACCTTTTTAATATGTTTACATATTTTTATATATAGTGTGTGTTACACAGAAAATATTATTAATTTAAAAAACCTGTAATACATAAATACATTTTATTTTATACTATTTAAAGATAGGTATACATTTATACAAAAAAAATCTAAAAATAATTAATGTAGGTACTGAACGCGTGTTTATAAAAGTAATATTAAGAAGTGATTTAGTGATAAGTCATAGGTATTTGTTACATTAAACTAAATTAAAAAAATTGTTCAACCAGTATCTTATTGTACAGCAAGCATTCTAAGTAATATCATTATAATTTCTATGTATTTTCTATTATCCATAACTAATTGAGCATAATTGTTGTTTAATTGATATAGAATCAAAGTTTTCTTAATCTTATTTTTTATGTAATCTAACCAACCAAGCAATTAAATATTGTTTGTGGTCATTATTATATAATTATGTCTTTGTAACCCTTTATTAGTCAAAGCATTATTTTAATTATTATATCCAGTACTTTTGAAAACAGTCTCATTTTCAATTTTAAATGAAAAAAAAGAAATAAGACGTTCTAGGATAATGGGGACGGGTGTAGCCACTGTTACAGATAATTCAATGTATACCTGTAAGCAACGATAAACTATTTCTAACGAAACAACGATTCTGAGTGGATTTTAGTTGATAGTGATGCTTTGTGAACAATATACGTCATTTTGTATTAAAAAATAGTTAAATAGGATATAAATCCGAGCAAGTCTTCTGGTAGAAAAATTGTAAACAGATAAACAAGGGAAAAAAATATCTTTGTTAAACCATCAGTTTCTTCGCTCTTCTCAGAATCTAAAATCTACACGGTGAACAGTAAATTACATCTTATATTTTACTATATTCTAACTATTTTTACTGGTCAAATCAACTTGCTTGAAATCCTCTTGATTGTTTTTATACGATGAGTGCTATAAATGATCTCTGGTAACTTTTCAATTCTAATTGAGTTTGTCAATCATCTAAAGTCTGAGATATATCTTGAGTACCAGGAATTTGACATGCACTAGGTGAAGTTATGTATCATATATTCTGGAACTATATTGCTCATCTCTGACAAATTTGAATCGGTAATATACTCGTATTTTTCAGACGATTCATCACTATAAATTGACTGTTCATTATTCACGTATAGTTATATGAATAACCTATGCAAAATAATAGCTTTAAACAATAATTGATACATCTATTTAAATGTAAATAAATTTCTTCATCTTCAATCAATGAACAATTTCACCAGGATGAACAATTATTTCAAGCCCCATTTCAATGAACTTTTAATCATTAAATTGTACCTATGTGAAAAAAAATCTACTTTTAAAATAATAGAATCCACCATAAAATATTACGTAATATTCACAACAAATGATTTAATTTTTTAAGTTAAGTTAGTTAAAGAATCAAAGTAGACAATCAACTATTAAACGAATTGAAAACCGATGGAGACATTTATAAAAATAATTTAAAAAATCGTTAATATTCAACAACTGTTAACCTGCTGAAATGCAGACCATAAAGTGGATTAGGCTTTTTGGACAATTTCTATTTCCTGCATACCGGTTGCTCCTGGTTGCTGCAGTTACTTGGCGATTGGATCTACGTCAGTCAGAAACTGAGCCTTTGTCCGCTGTGAAATTAGTGGGAAATTTTCAATGTTTCGCGTGGTTAGGAACATTGCAAAAAGTCTGCAACAGAGTATTTTTTGTAAACATCAACTGTGTGTCCATTCTTTTAGAAAACACCTTCACGAGTAGATATACCAAACCTTCTCTTTAACTTTTTTTCCCAGTTAATACTCCTCCTATCAGTGAAAATCCTATACAAAACTACAAAGTATAATATTTTGTTACAACATTTACATTCTTTCAATAATTTGACATTTATTTACTATTAAGAAACACAATAAGGGAAATCGCATTCTGTTGGGTGTCTGATGAACTTTATTTTGTAAAAATGTCCTGAAAAAAAACCCCGATATGTGACGTTTAATAATTTCAAAATATGGTTTAGAAACGGCTTTCAATACTATCATGCACAATTATTTTAATGACGACAGGGTATACTTGAGTCAATTCACAAGGATAACGATTAGGTATTTCGAACAAATTCGATCTATCGTGGATTTACATCGTCCGCAGTAGTGTCCTGTTCCCGATTCCAAAGAAATCTAATCCGCTCCGAAAACTATGCGGATTTAAACGGTGAAAGAAATATTTATCAAAATCCGAGTGCTGTACACAATGGTCCCCGGGGATCAAAAGTTGAAAAAATCCTTGTTTTGTTTGTTCATCGACAAGTTGAGGGTCACTCGTTGACCGTCAAACGTAATAATATTATTTATTTTTTTTTCCGGTTTCATCGTTCAGTATAGATATACATTAGTATAGTATATTCCGGTTCTTGAAGTGCATACCCGAACTAAACAATAAAATAAACCGACATAATAATTATTCCATATTTTAATGATGATATTATTCACCTAACAATACGAGAACAGATGTTTATTAAATATGCAGAATTGTAGATTTTCCGTTTTAATACCTACCTACTAGAAAATAACATTATTTAAATAAATTATTATTTCGTTATAATTTATTAGAAAATAAAATATTTATCGACCACCAAATAATTATTGTATTGGCTGCATTTTCTTTTATTTTAAATCTACAGTTACTTTATTAACTATCTAAAATATCCTACTGAATATCATGGTTATACTTAGATGAATATTATTTGAATTAACATTTTTATTTGTATAGCTCTACAGGCCGAAGCCCAAACGTTACAAGGCTGTATACTGTACACATGATCAGTAAGAACATTATTTCTTTATAGCCAATTCTTAAGGTTAAGTTAGGTTAAATTATTTTAAATATTGAAAGGCACGATGCTAATTATTGAAACTTTTGACATACATCATATACAAAATTCGTTGTTGAAAATAGTCAATAATTTCCTTATACTCATCTGGTCCAAATTTGAAATACCTTCCTAGTCCATAAATATTGTTAGGTAAGTCAGGTTTTTTTTGTTAGATCGAAATTTGGGTGTCGTGACGGTCAAATGATTTTTTCATGGGAGATAAGGATAATTTTTAAAAACTATTATTATTGCTTCATTTCCACGTCGCCGACTCCTATTTTGCTGACAACATTTTATTTTGTTAGTACCTACTTGTGACGTACGTCGCTTGAAGTACATTTACTCATGATTCCATCTCCCTATAGTTCATATTAAAACAATTCGTTTTCGTTGTCGTTTTCACAGTGATTACACTAGTTTTCTTAAATTGTCACTGTATTTTACTTAAATTATGCAAATAATAAGAAAAATTATTTTGAACACATATCTAGTCGTTGTTTACTCATAGTTATTGTCGATAATTTTTGTATTCTCAATAATACTAAATGTATATATTTACTTACTCGCTCATGCCGCAATTGTGACGCTAGAATTTCTTTAGTAATAATAATTTTATTGCCACAATAATATTTAAATTCAGTTCAATTCAATTCAACGATCATTATCGAAAGTCATTCGATAATTCAATAGTATTATAACCGATTTATGTGTCGGCAAAATGGGAAGATTTTTAATACCTACTTTATAAAACCAGCTTGTTTGTAGGAAAAATGAGAGTCGGCGACGTTGAAAGACACGATTATTATTTACATAATTTTTTTTATGACTATAAAGATATAATATAATAATTTATAAATTTTTAAAGCATGTTCAACCTATTTTTTGGTATAATAAATTATGCATAAATTAAAAGTGTGAATTTGAAATTTTTAAGTGCAGTTAACGACGACATTTTTGTATGACTGTTTCATAGGAATAGTGTACAGGCACTATCTTATTTAGACCGTGAAATTATTGCCTTTTTGTATATTTAATGTAGAATAATTAAAAATGTTTTCGTTTGAATTTCGATTACAGTACGTCAAAATTATAAGAAAAATCACCCGATTGACAATTGAAAATATGTTTTTTTTTACGGTTTATACTATTATAAGGTTAAAAAATAAAAAATTATTCAAAATGTAAAATTGACCTACATACATATTTATAAATAAATAAACAAACATGCATTTTTATATCGCCACTTCTGTGTACCAAGACACGTTTACGTTGTAAAATCGGTTAATGTCATTGTATACGTTTTGTTTATAAAAACCGGTGTTGTACTATTAGTTTTAATATTAGAGTGTATTATCCCTACTGTTGTCAATTGTAATGCTTATAAGGTAATAACATTGTTTGTTTTTGTACGTTGATTTTTTTCTCGATACTTCAATTTTCAAGCAAGCTACGAATATATGAAATATTACAATTTAAAAACCGTCGAATTTATAGCTTAAAAATTTAAATAATTGAACTATGATAATAGGCTTATACACTCTAATGTTAAAACTAACTGCACAAAATCGGTTAAATATAAATATAACGTCATTAACCGATTTTATAGCATTAACAGTAACGGATATATTAAAAAAACGTGTCACATAAACGTAACAAACGGCGTATTCATAATTATTAACCACACCGTATCTATATAAATCCACAGCGTGTTATTAAAATATATACGAGTATATGTGTTAGTATGGCAAAAAACACTGCATTTTATAGGTAACCAGCATTAATTATAATCAAAACCCACGCATTGGTTAATACATTTTTATTATTTTATAACAAATAAATACATTAACAACAATAGTAATTGTAAATTATTTCTATTATTCGATTGTTACATTAATATTATGTCTTGTGAAAAAATAATCAAATACATTTTGGGTTTCTTTTCATTTTCGATTCTGAACTGAACGAAGGATTTTTTTTTATTTTACAATGTTTTTTTTTTTTTTTTTATATCTGTAAACGAATTTTGTTTTGATTTTCAAGTATAATGCTTCTGACTGGGGTGGTACTTTAAGGAGATTATTTTTTTATTTCTCTAGCTGTTTTCATAATAAATGGAAAATCCGGACAAATGGATACAATATTAAACGAGTATTATTGAAGAAAATATTATGTACTTATATTTTACTATAATAATATAACATACATATTATTGACAAAGCAACACTATTAACGAAACTCCGCTCAGAATCGTTTGTCGTTAGTAATGCTTAATCGTTGCTTACAAATATACATTAAATTTGCCCTCTACCTTCTCAACTTCTCACCTACAACAGTGGACCAGCTATCGTGCGAAGTATGTTCGTTTTTTTTTTTTAAATAATTTCCAGATGTCCCACGTAATATTTTGCAGGACACGTTATGGCATCAAATTATTATTATATATTATAATCTGTCTTTCGGTACCAATAAATCTCGGTTCGTTAATGTTGGTATACGCGACAAGTGAAAACGCATCCGTTTTGGACCATGTCCATCATACGGACGGCAGCAGCACGTCTATTATTTTCAGGCTTTCGGTGGTCTGACCAAAAAACGAGACGATGCCGATAAAAATTTTGCTGCACGCCAGGGTCAGTAGAAAATAAAAAAAAAAACTGTCCTAGGATAATGGAGATGGGTGAAGCCACTGTTGTGGATGGCAATTTGGGAAGGTAGGATATAGATGGAAAATTGAACGTACATCCGTAGTAAACGATAAACAATTACTAACGTAAACGATTCTAAGCTGAGTTCGGTTAATATTCGTGTTGCTTTGTTAACAATATACTCGTATATGTTACATTATGGTAAAATAATTACATATACATTATATATTTTCTTTTATACTATTTGATTAATATTGTATCTATTTTACGGTTTTTCACGATTTTTATCATGTTTTTCTCATTTATTGGGAAAAATCAAAAAATGACCTCCTTAAAGTACCATCCCAGGAAAATTATCTTTTAGAAGAGTTTCTATACTTGATACTTTGAAGTAATATTTCCGGTAGAATTTTTGTACACAGTAAAAAGAAAAACAAATTAATTAAATAAACACCTTTGTAAAACCAATGCATTCGGAATCTAAAAATGCGATGAAAAATACATATATACCTAGACTAATCTAGTACAATATTCTTTGTACTTGGTTGAATAATTAGTGTAAGTTTGCAACGAGTATTATTTTATTATTAACCAGTTGAATTACCCGGGTTCACTTTTGTCTCTATCACATTAAATAGTTGTAATTCGGGAATTCTTGTTTTAAAAAGTGTACTTCCTTTCAGTGGCGTAACCAGAATTTCGAAATGAAAGGGGAGGGGGCAAGCAAAAACAAACAATTTCAAATAGAATATTTAACAATTAACAATAACAATTCATTCTATTGTTATAACGGTGATTGTTTGGATTCAAATATATTAATTTATTAACATGTGAAAAATGAATATTAATTTTGACCAATCCAATAATAAGATGCGGCAGTGAGATTTTGAAGAAAAAGCATAAAACAATAATGAATAATGACACTCGACGAAGCAATAATTATTACTAATAAATAATAATTAAAAAAAAAAAAAAAACGTTCGTTTAATACATCTATATTTAAATTAGCATATTTTAAATCACGAATAAAGCACGATAAATTATAACAATAGTTTCAAATTATTGATAATACACATAATACACAATTTATAATACAGACTGATAAATCCAATAATTAAACGCAATAAAACACGGTTTTCAATAGAATCATATTAATCGTAAAACGTATAATAGTCTACTTGTATAATTAATGTACAACGCCTCCGTAGGCATTACGACAGAATATGCGGCTGCTGCTGATAAACCTACAACAAAAACCGGCTTCAAAGATCGTTAATCCATAAACCATCGACTGTTTTGATAAAAACCGATTAAAAAAAAGTTGCCATCGTGAAAATCGATAAGAATAAAGAACGTTAAACGCACGAAATGAAATATACAAACACGTGAATACCTTTGGAATACAGCGTTGAATGTTTTTGAAAAAACATTCGGAACACTGTATCCCCGCGTCCGGCGCTCTCGTCCACAACGAACGTGCAAAACGTTTTAAAAACATTGTAATACAGGCGAAACGGATTGTAATATTCCTATCTAACCAGCTTTTAATGTTTATTCAGAAAAACTTGTATTATTTTTTTTTTTTTTTTTAACAAATTGTGTTCTCCGCACGAGCGTCAACACGCGCGTTATACGCGTGTCGACATTTAAAGGTTATAAATAATAATCGGATCGGTAAAGAACGAACTGCACACTCCGCCGCGTCGATTCCATTTGAGTTTACCGAAACAAACGAGATATTTACGCGCGTTACGTTCGCGGGGGAGAAACAAAACGTATTTTCGATTTTTATCGCGCGCAACACATAGAGCGACACCGTCACACACACACACACACACGCGCGCGCGTACGATTTTTATTTTTGTACGCCGACACACCGAGCACGACTGCGGATTCCTACGCTCGCTCGGGGACAGACGCCCGCCGCAAAAAAACAGTGGCGTAAGGGCGATTTTTCCCATGCACGTTACGGTGGTCGTCGCGAAACACGACGGCCGCCCGCGACGCGCCATTCGACTTCCGGCGCCGTGTGCGCGGAGAAAAAAGTAACGGGCCCGGAATTCGATTTGTTAACGTTATTTTACGTTCACGGGGCGGGAAATCCCGTGGCGATATATTGTTGTTGTTATTATCCGTTGTTGTTACCGTCATTGCGGTCGCGGCCGCGTCCGGATCGTCGCCGCGTATCATAAAAACACGCAGCCGTAAAAAATCGCACAAGAGCGCCCCCAACAATACTACCCGGCGCGCGCTATCAAATGTCGAACGGCTAGATTGTCTTACTGTATTACAGGAGTCCCCGTGGGCCCGCGGTCTGTACAATTAATACCGTAACCGCGACGACAACTGTTATCGAATTTGCCACACGATCGTAAAACACGGAAATGGATTTTTTTTTTTCACCGACCGAAAATCGAGAGGCGAGTGCTCTCACCCGCCGTGACCACGCCGCTGTTCGCGCGCGTACCCGTCCACGGCGGCGGCGGCGTCGTTGTTTTTTTCTCGCCAAATCCATTACGTTTGAAACATAAAATACTACCGATTTGCGTGCATTATGTATAAAAACGAAAATATTTGAAACAACGTAATTTAGCGCAATTTAGTTACCTGCGAGCACATTATATTGGTATTTGGTGTCTACAAAGATCGAGTTCAAACATGCGTGTACGCGATTGTACGCACACCTCTACTTAATAAATAATATTCGCCAGATTTATTGCATTTTTAAAAGTTCTTTAAAGTTTTTTTTTTTTTTTTTTATAATGCAATAAAAGTATAAAACAATCTTAAAAAGTTTAGTAATACGTATTTCTAAATTGCATTTTTTTTTTTCAGGGTTTCATTGATTATAATTTAATGTTACTGGGGTACCTTAGTAGTACGGGTAAATTATTGTACATAATATTAATTTTAACTTTTGATGTTTCACCATAGGTACTATACCTTCCTGCGTTATTTTTTATTTATTTATTTTTTTTTTTTTAGTAAAACTTTTCGTATAAAAGAAAAATAAATAAAAAACCAAACGAAAAATATATAACAACTAATAACTATATAAAATACATAAATCAATAACATTGGCTATACAGGTACTTTCTAACTATATACAATATCGAATTGGTTTTTATAAATTGAAAAAAAAAAAAATCAAAACGTGAAAGAACACTTTCATCGTAAACTACATTTTTAATGTTTTACATCATAGGTATTTTTTCTCTTTTATTTATTTTTCATTTTTTTTTTTTATTAAAAATATAAATTTAAAAATTTTAATTCTTATACTTATCGAAAAAATAAATTATCACGAGAATCCGTACGAAACCGGAAACGTATTTTTTAATATCCGTGAAGTTAGTCACCCTACCGAATTGGTAACGATATTTTGCAACTAATTTGCAAGGCGGGCATTAACGAGTTAGTTAATTAAATGTCAAGTTAATTTCAATTTATTGACTTAACTATAGTTTGCTATTTTAATTAATACTCAACTGATTGCCCTACGTTAACTTGAAATGTATATTAATAGATTGTAACCTAACCTAGTTAATTATTAATAATGACAATAATATAAGTAAAAGGTAAATAATAGCTGGCTCGTATAATTACATGTAGCTACGAGTCCACGATTTGTGTTAAAAGTACCTACTTAATACGATTATTATGAGTTGTACCCAACAGTTTCCTTCAATTTAAATATTAATACAATTATAATCGCCTACATTGGTAAATTATGTAGTTTTCCTATTCATTTTCACTATACTGTTACAGTATTATTCGGTTGTGTTCAGTGGCGTTCTCAAGAAAGGCGGGGGCCTCAAAAGAAGTCTTTAACCCGGGTCATTTTTCGCAATAACTTTTTACACACGACACCGCTATTACACAATGCAAAATATCAAGTGTGAAACATGCCACATTATCGCTATTTGCTATTGCGTTATGCTAATCAAATTGTGCGATATGATAAATTTGTTTTTGATTCTTTTCTTGATATTTTTGATAAACATTTCATTGTATCCCCCCAACTTAACGTCCTAGTTACACCACCGATATTATTTCATTTTCACTACCAATTTCTTCATTAGTACTTGTCAGTTCGTTGCCACATCGGTTATTCGATTAACCTTTATTTTGTCACTGTGATTTATTTATACGCGAACGGGTACTTATTGTTAATATAAGACCGGGTTTATATGCACATCATTTTTTTAAATATGTATGAAAACGAACAGTGAAAAAAAGTCTAAATATGTCCGGTAAAATTGTAATTTTAATAATGTTTTTTTTTTTATTGTTTTCCGTAATTTTGAAGTCTAAATTAAAATTTGTAAAAGTGAAATATATAATTTAACATGAACACCTATATGGATTACAAAAACGTTACTGTGTTTTGTACTTGTTACTATGAACATTTTAAATCATAGGTAGGTACGTAGTTAATTAAAATCTGTAAAATTAAAATTTACAATTGACTAAGAATACATTTTATTTGTATTTTTAAATGTATTCAAAAACCAAGTAAATAGCGTTTTAATAATCTAATTTATAATACATTGTGAATATGAAAAAGCACGACAAATTAATACGGTATGTTAATATTGGAAAGACATTAAGTTACCAAAGTGCGTTCCATGGTCACCTTCTTGGGGCATATTTCTATAATTTTGTTATCCGCCTCTGTTTGCAAACGAATATGCAAAATATGCAAAACACATACAGAACATGCACTTAAGTCGGAATATGCAAAATTATACGGCACGAAATTTTGTTATTTAACCAATCAAGTAATGATTTATGGACTTTCATTATAGTGACGTATTTATGATTTTACTGCAATGGATGCACATTTTTTTTAATGCCCCCATCCCTAACCAGGTTTTTTAGAGTGGCAATTTTTCTCACTCATAAAAAAAAACTAACAGCACATGTGAAATGGTAATAGTATCAAACAGTATAAAAATCTATCGAGTGCTCTAGGATGTTGAATACCACAGGTACTTTCAGTAACAACCGTGATTACAAAATAATTCAAGCAAATTGTAACGAAAATTATCCTTAAAATGATTCGGACATATTTCATACTGTAATAGGTGAAAAGTTAGGAATGTAGAATATAGAGGGGAATTTAATGTATATCTGTGCTTAACGATTAATCTTTGCAAACAAAAAACGATTCTAAGTGGAGTTCGGTTATACATGTTTTCAAAAAGCCGTAATATTGATACTAAAATTCGTATAAAAAAAATTATACATTTCACTATTTTTTTTTTTTAAATACAAAAGACGACTTATACCTAATGAACCTCCAGTTGAATTTTCAAGCATTTCTGTTTGGTCTAACAATTTTATCCACAGAGTATCTACTAAATAAAAATTATGTAAAAAACTCGACAAATTAAAATGTCTATAAATAATTTAAAAAATGACTAAAATATTTTGAAAATTTGATCACAGCTAAAAAAGACAAATACAAGTTTTCTGTCCAAATTTCAAGTCTCTACGAATATTTTTATAGTTTTTCGATTTACGATTTACGTATGTCTACGTAGCTAACGAAAAACGATTCTGAGAGGAGTTCGGTTAATAGTGTTGCTTTGTCAACAATAAACTTACACATTATTATGTATACATATGCCATATTATGGTAAAATAATTAGATATGCATTATATATTTTTTTTAATAATATTTGTTTAGTATTGTATTTATTTTTCTATTTTCCTACGTTTCTTTCCGATTTTCTCCATTTCACAGAAAATGTCCTGAGTAAATCAAAAAATGATTTCCCTAGAATACCGCCATTGTTAGATTTCTTTTCAGAAAATGATATCATTGTAAATCGGAGCAAAATTGCTGGTAGAAAAATTGTTCACAGGAAAACAAATGGCTGTAAAATTTTTTTACTAATACATATATTTCGTTCATTTTCCGGTTTCCCAACTATTTTTTCCGATATTTTCCTATTTATTTGATTCCCAGTCAACTGATTTTTTTTTATACTTCTTTGTGTGATGTACATTTATATATATTATCTATGTAATAAATGTAAACATATAATTTTGATAAATATTTAAATTATAGTATAGATGCGAATTATATTTAAAGAATATCCAGTACCCGACAAGGCACCAAATAAGGTATTATAATAAGTAAACAATATCGCAAACATAAAATGTCGCAAATAGCTTAAAAAGTGTAAAAATGATTTGAACATTTGAACATGTCTAGAAATGGTAAATGTAATTTACTGAATGTAAACTTCCTGGGAAATCTAAAAACGACTTTCTTGATCATAAACTAGATCCAAAATGCACAATAACACTCTTTTGGTTTTTTATTTTTGATTAAAGAAATATTTCCAGTAGAATATATAATGCGTACAAATTAAAAACAATGAAATCGGTAACGCCGCGGTGCACTAAAAGCGTTTGGCGTTTTTTTAATAATTTTATTTCCTGTTTTTTTTTTTCCAATTATTTGAAAACCTCTT